CACTATATCAAATGCATGGATTATTATTATTATTATTATTATTATAATAACATTTCCCTTATTGTTATGCCCCCATTGACTGCTCTGCTCTCCAAACCCTGCCAATCAGCCAGACTGGCTGTTGTATTTCCAGCAGTGCTCTCGAGCTGCCTGGCTCAGGGCGGCTGAGGACACCATAAAGAATTCACTGGAATGTGATCTTCTGTTTCCAGGCATTTCACCTCAGAGCCAGTTCAGCCCCAAAGAGGCTCCCCTTCCTTGTAAATGGCGACCAGTTGAAGGCTATCTTATTATCAGTGTGAGAGAATCAAAGATAAGAGTGGATCGGACAGTACATTGTGTATCTCAGTTACTGCGTATTATTAGATTAATAATATAATCCTTGCATTTGGTCTAAAGCCAGTAGGATGCCTCAAAATTATTCACCGGATTTACTGTAAAGTGTAGTGACTGTATTTTGTAGGCAAATGCAGCAGTCCATCCCACAAACGGCCAAAAAGTGAATGACTAGTGACTTTATCAGGGGGATTGTTGGCCAGGACACCAGGAAAAACTTCTTTTTGGTTTGAGTAGTACAATGGTAGCTTTAACATCCACCTGAACAGACCAGAACTTCAATTTAACATGTCATCCAAAGGAAGGCACCTCCAACAATGCGAAGCACCTCCAGCAATGCACCGGAGTGTCAGCTTAGACTGTTAGTTCAAAGTCCTGACATGGGGCTTGACCCCACACAACCTTCACACGCAGAGGCAAGAGTCTTACCAACTGAGTCAGCGGATGCACAAACAACTTGGATGTGGACATAGGAGGGGTTGTGTCGAAATTTGATGATAGTTCAGTGGTTTGCAAATGGTGAGAATGATTGTGTAAGATATTAGCAGGAAATTTACAGTTTAGAGAAGTGATGGTTGGACAAGTGGCCAACATCATTTAACGCAGATAAGTGTGTTATTCTGCATTTCAAGAAAAGGATAGGGAGTGGAATTATAGAATTAAGGTAAAATAATAATAATAATAATCTTTCCATTCGATATATTGTCTTATCACATTGTTGAGACACCTCAAAGCGCTTCACAGAATATACTGTAAAGTGAATTGACTGTGTATTTTATGGGTGAAACGCGGCAGCCAATTGCACACAGCAGAGTGCCACAAACCGTTATCATTACGATTATTTTTTGAGGGATTATTATCTCTAGAAAGCGATCCGCCATTCGACAAACCACCAGGTTCCTATTTACTGCTGGGTAAACAGAGGCGTGTGGAGTAATAACAACAATAACAAAAAATATTTTTTTATAGCGCCTTTCATGTTGGAAGGACATCCCAAAGCATTGGATAGTCAGGAATTTGGAAGTGAGGAAACTTGTTTAAGGTTCCACCCAGCAATCAAACCCAGATCCTCTCACTTGTGAGATGAGCGCTTGAACCACTAAACTATGGAACTCCACTAAAACACTCAATGAAGTGGGATAACAGGGATAGGAAACTATGGAGAAGGCAAATGGGAGTGTGGGATTTATAAATAGAATCTAGATTATAAAAGTAGGAAAGTTATGTTGGAATTGTATAGGACATTGGTTACATCAAAGGTGGAATATTGTCTGTTCAGTTTTAAGCTCCTCATTACAGAAAGAATGTCACATAGATGGACAGCGCAGATTTACAAGAATAATACAGGAAATGAAAGCTCACACATGTTTATATGGTTACACATAACGATTCCTGGAAGGGGCGAACCCGTAAGCAAGTTTCCTTACTCCACCGCCTCTGTTTACCTTGCAGTAAATAGGAACCCAGTTGTTAGTCAATTGGCAAATCGCTTTTCGGGGGTAATAATCCCTCTGCCCCAAAACAAAAAATTGGGTCACTCGATCCGTGATAGTTTGTGGGAACACTGTCTGTGCGCAATTGGCTGCTGCATTTCACCCACAGAATACACACTTCACAATATATTCTGTGAAGTGCTTTGAGACAAATCCCACAATGGCATGCAAGGATTATTATAATTATGTCAAGAGAGGCTGGTTAAATCAGAGCTTTTTATAGTGTAGCAAAGGAGATGGGGAGGCTATATATAACAGTCTTTAAGATATCGAGGTGGCATGTCAAGTTAAATAGGGAAACCACTATTTCTTTAGTTGGGGGATTGGCAATGAGGAGGCATTATCTCAGGTTTATAATAATAATCGTTGCATTTGATATAGCACCTTATCGTGTCTTTCAGACATCTTAAAGCACTTCATGGGATATACTGTAAAGTGAATTGACTGTATATCTTTTGGGTGAAACGCAGCAGCCAATTGTGCACAGCACTGTCCCACAAACAGTCGTGGATTGACTGACCAATTTATTATTTTTTTAATTAGATTTTTTGAAGGAATTATTACCCCCGGAAAAGCGTCTTATGAAGGAATGTTTTGACTTAGACGGTAGTTGGTGTTTAATTCATTGTTGCAAGTGCCTCGCGAGGCTGCATCAATATAATCGTTCAAAA